TTTTTTTTCTTTCTTTAAAATAAAAATAACTGATGTCAAAATAAATAAATAAAATATTAAAAAAAATTAAAATATGTGCACTATTCTAGAAAAAAAAAAGAAACCATGAATATCTGAGTTTGTGTGACTCATTTCAAATAAGTGTTGTCTGGTTACACCCATTTATCCATGAATGCCTCAAGTTTATCTTTCTTTATGGCATTGCAGTACTCCACTGTGTATAGATACCACATTTTCTTTAAACATTTATCTGTGTATAAATATATGTATTGGGGCCGGGGAGATGGCTCAGTAGAATAAGCGCTCACCTGGCAAGCACAAGGGCCTGAGTTTAATCCCCGGTTCCGCCAAAAATAAATATATGTATTGTTCCAAAATCTAGCTATTATAAATTGTGTTGCTATATACATGAGTAGACATATATCCTTGTAATATGATTTTAACTCTTTTAGGAAGATATCCAGGTATCTGTATCAAATAAATTTCTCTTTTTAGTTTTTTGAGAACTATCCACACTTAGTTCTGTAGTGGTTGAATTAGCTTACATTCCTTACCAATACTGTAGATTTGTTCCTTTTCCCCCCACAGCCTCACCAGTATTTGTTATTGTATTTTTTGTTGATAGTCATTCTTCCTGCAGTAAGATGGTATCTCAGTATAGTTTTAATTTGCATGCTCTGATGGCCAGCAGTGATAAGTGTTTTTCATGTATTTATTGGTCACAAAATGGATATTTTAAAACACTGGAGAATCCTTTATTCCTTAACTTCTTCCTTTAATATATATTTTATTACTTTAAACTTGGAATTAAAATTTTAAAAGTAAAAATCTCTATCCACTCTAAATATCTGTTGATATATTGTGCCAGTGTTTACAAAACAGTGTTTTTGCATTTATAATATTTATAGCCATTTGTCCATGTCGTTTGCCAGTTTACAGATAGGAAGTGCTAACACATTTTTCCTTTATGTGATCAGCCCACAAATTAGATTTTTCTTTCTGTTTCCACAGTTGTAGGCTTTTCTTCAGAAAGAGATTTTGAGACTTATGTTAAGCAAATTAATAACTCTGAAAAGGTTCTGGCTGCTATTGTTTTTGACCATGACTTCCAAAATAGCGATGATGCTCTTCCACTGAACGTAAGAAAATTTTATGTAGAAACTTCATAATGGTACTTAATGAAGTAGAGGTGTCATTATTTTAATTAGTAAAGAATCTGACTTGCCCAAGATCATGTTGCTTGTACATGGCAGAGGCTTGAATCCAAATCTAACTTCAATATCCATTTAGCTAGCTTCAATCTGTGCTTTGTGCTTTCCTTGATGAAGCTATGAGATCTTCACAGGAAGCACTGATAATGAAGGACACTAACTCTGCTACTCTCTCTGACATTGCTCCTGTCTCAGCCCTGCAGATGATGCATTCCCTGGTGTGATACAGCTGATGCATCTCCCACTAACAGGGAACGCAACATGAAAAGTTTGCTATGTTTGAATGAACCTCATAATTTTTCTTCTAATTCTAGATTCAAAAATAACTCTTAAGGCTTAGGCAGGGTAAGCCACACTTAGGACGTGTCCAAATACTGAAAATACTGAGGAAGCTCTGGTAATAATAATGCTCAAGAAGGAAAAATAGTGTTCTGAACTTAGTGTTTCTAATGTTGAGGGAAATGCCCAAAGTAGAGATGCAGATGGTTTTCAGTTGGAAAAGTATGGAAGACCACTGTGTGGTAAGTAGAGATATGAGTATCTCTTCGCTGTGTCCTGACACAGCTTAACTACTTTTCTGTGTCAGCGTCCTCAGGTTTCAGACACAGTGTGAACCAGTGCCGATGTAGGTTTAGCAGTGTATTTTAGACCTAGTCAAAAGGGTGTTGGTATAATTTCAGACTTCCCCTTGTCTGCCTTTGGATAGTCTCCATCTCCCTAGCCTTCTTACCCTTTACAATTAAGACAATTCTGTATTGTCTCTTCTAACCATGCACAGTGCTCTCTTTTAATTCTCCCATAAACATTTCTCCATCACTGAATTTGCACTTAATGTGAGTATTTATGTTTTCCTTAACTAGGATCTGAGCTCCTTGAAGATCAGGGGCTGTGAGCATGCCATAAATTCCTACAGATTTCATCTGTAGGAATTGAATAGATGGTAATTGAATAGATGGAGTCTCACTAACACCTATACTTCTGCCCACTCCTGCTCATCTTACTGATTTCTCTATAGTTTGACCCTTCTGACCTTTAGTAACTTTTGGTCCACTTGTTTGAGAGTAATTTACCTGGAAGTGTTATTTGGTTCTCCAGAAGTAGTATTATTCCTCAATAAATAATTATATTATGCAGTGGTTCGCATTTGCATCTTATCACATTCTCCTCTGTACTCATAAGATTCTTCCATTTGTTGTAAGAATCACTCTCAGGGGAGGAAGAAATTTTTCCTTTTCAAACACTTGGCTTAAGGGCCAAAGAGATAGCTCAGTAGAATAAGTGCTTGCCTGGCAAGTGCAATCTCCAGTACCACAAAAAAAAAAAAAAAAAAAAAAAAAAAAAAAAAAAGAACTGTTGGCTTACATAATGGGAAGAGAAATTCATAATGTCATTTGGAATACTTCATTTCAGCATGTGTACAGCTGTCTGTCTAGGGAAAAATACATTTACAACCATGTACAAAGTTGCCAGTGTTTCTCTTCTACAGACCCACACATATATCCAAGTGTTGTTGATACTTTGAGTGATAATGTCGGATGTCCCCAGGGAGGTTCAGAGGTTGGACTGGGGAACATGATTGGATAGAGCTGCTATAGCTGACTTGCTGAGGGGAGACGAGTCTGGTCAGAAGCAGTGGCTCAGCGGGCAGCAGAACTGGAAGGGTGTGTGTCCCTCCCTGGCTGTCCTAACACAAGCAGCCTTTGCACCAGGCCCCTCTGGTGCAGTCAGTAACAGATTAAAGCATGAGCTCAAATCAACCTCCCATCCTTCAGTTGTGAATATATATATATATATATATATATATATATATATATGTTTGTATCTATATATTTTATTTTATTTTATTTATTTATTTTTTCTAGAATCGGGAATTGAACTCAGGCCCTTGCACTTGCCAGGCAAGTGCTTATTCTACTGAGCTTTCCCCCCAGCCACCAATTTGCAATTTTGCTGGTATTTTTGTACCAGAGACAAGAAAGTGACTAAGAGAATGAGCTTAAGAGGGGAGGATTTAGGGGAGTCAAAGGTGGAGGGGCCCAGCGTGCTCGTGCTTCATGTTGGGCCAGTCTTTGTTGAGGCTGGTCAGTCTGTTCTCAGAATCATATTCCCAATGACATTTAACTTCCTTTAGTTCCTGATTTTTGCCTAATTGTTGATTTGCTTTATGAATATTTTTTATTGCTTCTTGTAGGTAAAATATTATTTGCGTTTTAGTTACTTCAAGAAGAACAAAACGCAGATGAGTAATTCTGAATCAGATGGCTGGTTCACAGATTCTCTCTTTCCTCTTTTTTCTTTGGAACCCAGAAATTTCAAAGAGTTAGATGGGGGCAGTCCTGGTAAGTAGATTTTTAACTGTTTATTTTGAAGTCCTTTTGTATAGTAAGGTTAAAGACTCATGTTTTTTCAACCTGTATAAAAGCTGGGGTTTTTTTGTTTGTTTGTTTTTGGGTTTTTTTGGTGGAACCGGGGATTGAACTCAGACCCTTGTGCTTGCCAAGGAAGCACTTATTCCACTGAGCCACCTCCCCGGCCCCAAAGCTGTTTATTTTTAACTGTTGTTGGATTTTTTTTTGAAGCTTTCATTGTCCAAAAGTCCATAGAAAAAAATTCCCTTTCAGCAATATATTTTTACCATATTGTATCCTTTCCAGGTCATTATCATTGTGTGTCTATTTTTAAGTAGATTTATTTGTGAATTTTTAACTCTTAGTTACTTCTATACACATTTACAGATACTGAACAACTAGTACCCAGGAGTATTCTAATTGGTGTTAATTGTATTAACTATAACTGTATGTTATTCTGTTGGATTGATGAATAATTTTAATACAATTATAGTCATTTTAAACCTAAAATTTATCACATAAGATTACATTCAAATCCTTAATGTGTGCCTTTCCTTTTACCGTTTTGAAAAATTATGCTAAGAATGATTCAGCAAAAGAACAAATTATGACCAATTTAGCATCATGTCGTTCAGGCTGGGCTTGAGCTCAGTATGTAGCCCAAACGGGCCTCAAATTCACAGTGATCCTTTCTTAGCCTCCCAAGAGTTAGGATTACAGGCATGCACCACCTCACCCAGCTAGCATAATTCTTAAGCTTTTGGAATTACCTACATCTAAGTATGATGAACGCATAATAAAAATGTAAAACATAAAAGGAACTAGGATGGGTGAAAGGGGAAAGTATAGTAGGGAAAAGGGAAAAAATGCAAGTCGGTTATACTACTAGTGTCTCTTAGTTCATTAAAAAGGAGAGTTTGTGCTAATACCGACTGGAGAAATTCCAATGACTATATCTTCTACCCTGTACCACTACTTTAAAGATAACAACATGTAATGTAACTATTGTAATTCTCCCATTTTTGTTAAGAAATTTTGTTTTATCTTTTTTCTATAAAATAAAATTTTTTTAAAAATTAAAAATATAGGGGCTGGTAAGATGGCTTAGTGGTCTAAAGCACCTACTTAGAACAAGCTTAGCAAAGCACAGGGACCGCAGTTCAATCCCCCAGTACCACATGCCAGCCAGCCCCGCCCCCTGGTGGACTGAGCTGGCCACACACACACACACACACACACACACATAAATAAATAAATAAATAATTTTTTAAGATTGTAAAAAAAAATTAAAAATATAATTTGAGAGAACATTGTGCAATCATTAAAAACAATCACCATTAGTCATCTGAACAACTGTTAGGGCGTCTAATTAGAAAGAGTGGATTAGATGTATGTGTAGCTGCATCTTACAGACAAACTGTTATGGGTCACTGAGCATAGGAACCAGATCAGCCAGATAGAAATTTGAATAGAGCCTTTAATTACTGAGCTCAGGTCTGTCAGTCACTTCTCACGCAGAAGACTCATCGGCAGTCAAACGAAGGTAGCAGGGCGTTTTTTTAACAGAAATCACATCCAGTTTGGTAAGCGAATTTGTTATCTAGCACAGAACAACAGAAGTCTACATTCATTTGACACAGCTGCAAACTGTTTGTAACTAAAGATATTTTATAGCTTAGTGATAAGTGTATATTTTACAAGATACATCTTAGGGTGATGGTTAGGGAGGGAGTTTGCTACCTTAACAAGAAACAGTTATTTATTGTTGAACAGCCTTGAGCCAAGAGGGAGAATATATGTCTTAGAGTAGATAACAGGAAGCACAAAGTTTTTAAAAATAATATCCCACAGTTAAGGCACAGAATTCTGTTAACCCTTAACAAAATCAATTGACTGAAATGGATAACTGAGTTTCATTTACATGAATAAAAACTAACTCAAACCAAATACCAGTGCACATTCTAGGAGAACACAAAACCATAGAGACACTCATGAAACACAGTAAAGTGTTTGCCAAAGGGAAGGAGAAAGCAGGGGCAAGAGAAATAGAGACATAAGAGAATGAATAAATAAAATGAATTAAGGTATATAAATTGAGGGCATAAACAATATAATTAACCCTCTGCATATGAAGCCAAAAATGTGTACATACAAACTTAAATATGTAAATAATGTAAAATTTAGAATGAGTATATTAATAACAATTTATCTAAGCCATATTTTTCATTGTGGAATGACCTACTCTTTTCCTTAATATAACCCTACTGTATAAAACAAAGACAGTATTTCTGAAATTAGATCCATTTTAAACCTTATTTCTTTCCTTCTCTGTTAATAAGAGATAATCTTTTAGTACACAGTCTGACTCTAAACTGCTACAAGATAGGTTTTTTTGTATCAGCTTTTCAAGTAAAGTACCTAAAGTTCTGAGAAATGATGAAAACTGTGCTAAAAGTTAAATAACTTTTAAGCACTGAAATTGGTGCTTAAACAAATGCAGTCTATGTCCAGGGTCTATACATTGAGTTTTCCCTGTGTTGTCAAAACAGTACAGAGCACATTGAGTTTATATATACAATGTTACTCCATGCCACTACTGAAAACATTAATAATATTCCTTAGTCACCAGGGCATTTAAATAAATAAATAATAATGAATTAGTATCTTATTGCTTAAGAATATTGGAGTACAGTCTAGACTTCCTGCATAACTGCAAGGGGACCCTATGCTTAGAGATCAGCTTTGCCCCAGTGAAGCCAAATGTCCTTTAAAGCAGGCCATCTCTTAGAAGGTGGGTTTTTTTTTAAAATTTCCAACTTATTTTGGAATAATTCTTTTGTGGAATAACACTAAAAATGAAGTATTAAAGAGGCTTTCTTCCAGTGAACATATTTGGCCTCTTACTAAAAGATAAGGTGACTGAATGTGTTTGTAGCTGTATCTGTATCTTCTAATCTGTTTCATTAATCCTCAGGTCCTTTTCTGCCAGTAACTCGCTGATTTTATCATAGTAGCTTTGTAGTATAGTTTCAAGTTAGGGATTGTGGTGCCTCCTGCCTTTCCCTTGCTGCCTAGGACTGCTTTTGCTATTCTAGGCCTCTTCTGGTTTCACATGAATTTTAGGAGTATTTCTTCTAGATCTGTGAGAAATGCTAATTGTATTTTAGTTGGGGTTGACTTAGATATGTATAACAGTTTTGGGAGTTAGGTCATTTCCACTATGTTGGTTCTTCCTGTTTGAATACTATTTTAAAGGTTGTGGTTCTCTCTCTCCGGCTCCCTCTTCTCCCTCTCCCTCTCCCTCTCTTTCCCCCCTTTCTCCCTCTGTCTGTCTGTCTGTCTGTCTCTCTCTCTCTCTCTCTCTCTCTCTCTCTCTCTCTCTCTCTCTCTTTGTTGCTTGTGTACAGGAATGATATTGCTTTTTAAGTATTGGCTTGGTATCCAGCTATACTACACGTCTTTTGGTAGTTTTGAGGGTCTTCTATGTAGAATATTGTGTCATCTGCAAATAAAAATAATTGAACTTCGTTTCCTATCCTTACTCCCTTTATTTTTTTTTCTCTTGTCTAATTGCTGTGACTAATGTATCCAGATCTGTATTGAATAGGAGTGCTGATAGTGGACATCCTTGTTTAGTTCCTGATTTTAGAATGAAAGCTTTCAGATTCTGACCATTTAATAAGATGTGAGTTGTTGGCTTGTCATAGATGGCTTTTATCAGATTGAAATAAAGATCATCTATTCCAATTTTCTGTAGGCTTTTTTTAAATCCTTAATGGGTGTTGGACTTGGTCCAGTGTTTTCTCTGCATTTATTGAGATGATCATGTAGCTTTTGTCTTTGGTTCTGTTAATATGGTGTATTACATCTATTGATTTATATATGTTGAACCATCCCTGCATTCCTGGAATGAATCTGCATTTGCCACTATCTTATTAAGGATTTTTTCAGGACTACTTTCATTGCATTCCATAAGTATCAGTATGGCGTATTGGCATCATTTAATTGTATATCAACTGTTTAATTTTGTTTTTAATTTCCAATATGACCCATTGGTTGTTCAGAATGGTATTATTTAATTTCCATATGTTTATTTAGTTTTTGTGATTTCCTTTATCATTGATTTCCAGTTTTATTGCCTTAGGGTCAGATAATATGCATGGGATTATTTCAGTTCCTCTACATTTATATAAGGATGTTTTGTTCAATAATATGGTCTGTTTTGGAGAACTCCCCATGTGCAGCTGAGACTGTTTATTCTGAGGCTTTGCAGATATCTCCTAAGTCCATTTGTTTACAGGCTTAGATAATTTTGATATTTCTTTGTTGATTTTTTTGTCTAGTTAATCTATTTGTGAGAGTACAGTATTAAGGTCCCCCACTATAATTGTGTTAGTGCTTTGGTTTTTCATGTGTGGTAATATTTGTTTTATGTAGTTGGGTATATCAGTTTTTGGTATATAAATATGATTATAATAATATTTACAAGAGAAAGCTCTTGGTATTTTTCCTTAACAAATATGTAGTGATCTTCTTTATCTCTTTTGACTAGTCTTGACTTGAAGTTCACAATGTCTGTAAACAGAGTAGTTATGTAGCTATTTTTTTTTGTATAGAAGTTAACTTTTATTTTAAATCTGTCAAGAAATCCTGGCAGTTATTCATTTTATTAAAATGATTACAATACAGCAAAATAAAGAGGAGATAATTCTATTTTTCTACAATATAAATTATGAGTTAGATTCTCAGCTGCTGGCTCAGTATGTAGCTATTTTTCTGGATTTCTGTGGCATGGAGAATTGTTTTTTACCCTTTAACATTTAGTCTATGATTTCTTTTTTGGGTTAAATGTGTTTCTTTTTTCTTTTCTTTATGTATTTGATACAGAGTGTGCAGGGTCTACAGGGTCTCACTATGCAGATTGGACTCACAGTGATCCTCCTGTTTTAGCCTCCCAAGTGCTGGGATTACAGGCTAAATGTGTTTCTTAA